GTCTCAGTTATGATTACATGGGCAACTGTGAATACACATTGGTTAAGACATGTATACCTTATATGGCAATCAACCAATCAAGTGTGAACTTTGAAATCCTGCAAGAGAACATGAACCTTGACACCAATCCACGTGTTTCAGCAACTAAGAAAATCACGTTGCTTTATGACAACTATGTAAGTTTTGAGATTGTTTTCTGTGGAAGGCGCTATATAAATATATGACCATTGACCATTGACCCTTTCATATTCACAATCAAGTAGTTAAAAATAACCTAAAATCACCTTATTTTGCAAATTACCGCCCCCTCAACTGATCATCAAGCCCACCCCCACTTTACCTTTGCACCCCCACTTCACCTTCGCGCCCCCATCAGCAGCCCCATTTCAAGACTTCTAGATACGCCACTGTATATTGCTCTTTTACTTGCAGCTACAAAGCTCTGTAAGTTTTTCACTGGTCATTGAGTTCACATGCTATTTTTGCTGCCATAATGGCGCAGTAGCAGGTGACCCCACCAGGTACCCATTCATATTCCTGGGTGGAGAAAAGCAACACAGATAAAGTTCTATGCCTAAAGACACAAGCAAAATGCACAGCGAGAGATTGAAAGTCCGACCTCGAGATTGAGAAACCAAACCATTCCCACTGCTCCAAACTGCTTCTATACACAGTGAAAAAAAAACCTATATTGAAATATTAATAATGTAATAATATTTTAACAGATGTTTGAGCTTTTGAGAGGACCTGAGCTACGTGTGGATGGACTGAGAACATCTCCACCTTTCAACATGGATGCTATTGAAGTCAAGTTCATACCTGGTTACCTGGTACGTACACACACTTATTTCAAACCCTTGCAGTAGAGTTATGTCCCCCTGGCTTTGATTGGGCATTCCATGCCATTTTAAAGGCCACTTTTCAGGATTTGATTTTGGCAAACATGCATTTACATATAGATCAGCACACAAGTATTTAAAAGTTGAACGGTAACCTTAATACAACACAACGCCTATCCTCGTAGCCCTATGCTTAATGCCACATTTGTCCATATATCCAGGAATGCTGGTGTCACTAAAGAGGAAACAAATAACAGGGAAAACACAAAACGACAGTGAATGTCATGTCATAACGTCCATGCCCAAAGAGGGCGCTGGTCTGTTGTAATTACTGTTTTGCACCCTATGCCATTTCAGAAATTGCTACCCTTGTGTTGATTTGGCAGATGTATTGTCACTTTCCAGGCTGCTGTCTTGACTTTAATTTAGTAGCTTGGCCATGGCATTTCAGAGAAAACTTCCATGCGTTTAATCTGTCAGTAATAATATGTTAATAATATGTTATATTTATATAGTGCTTAATGCCAACTAGGCCTCTAAGTGCTTCACATTACTACCCCCGGTCATTGGATTTGGACGCCTATGGAACACAAACTATTCCATAAAGTTGCAGCAGCTACATCAGTGCATTTTGGCATTTAACCCTATCAGGTACCCATTTATACTCCTGGTTGGAGAGAAGCAATGCAGATAAAGTGCCTTGCCCAAGGACACAAGCGAAATGCAGAGGGAGGGGATTATTTTTTGACTGAAAAATCATATAATTAGTTTTTTCCAAATTTATTGTCAATTTATTTGAATTACACCAACTGATAATTTTTTTTTAATTCAGTATTATTGTCTGATAAATCAAGAATGTTTCCAGAAAAAGAGTGTAATTTAGGAAGGTCATTGGTATAAATTAATAAAAGAGTTGTTGCAGTGTTTTCCATTTTGTAATTAACTCTATTGATTTTGATGGTTTTCTTTTTACTTGTGTATTTTGTTTTGTATGTGAACGCACCGTGTATGAGTATGTGCAACCGGTGTAAAGGTGTTCTTTCAATAAATTATTATTTTACAACTTATGATACAATCGTATAAAATGTAAGCACGGAACTATTCTGCTACTCTAATGAATGTTTTATGTAAATCTGTAGATGCTTGTTAGTGACTTTGGTTTGAAGATTCGATGGGATGGTGAATACAATGTGGAGATCTACATACAAGACGTTTTTAGTGGCCTGCTTTGTGGTTTATGCGGTAACCTTGACTACAACACCACCAATGATTTTACAACCCCAGAGGGAGCACAGGTTTGTGGAAAAAAAAAAT